GTGACACAACTCAAGAAGTCGACTTTGTGGGACACTGAGGATATCAATACCTGTTAGAATACGGAGATGCATTTATGTAAGTGTTCGTGGAATGACAACAGCCATGTTGAGCATTTTTGTAAAAGTTTATTTGCTGTTATGCCATATATCGGAATGTATGTTTTGTTATGATGCATACTATTCCTTTTGGCTCGTGTATATGGCGCTGGTTCTGGGGACAGAGCGAGATATGGAAGAATAAGTTACAAGTCACATTTTGAAATGATTTAAAATAAATATTAATATGTATTTGAAAAAAGAAAACTGGGAGGGTAATGTTACAGTATAGGAATCTCAAGGTTAGAATGGTCAGTGATTGGCAAGTGTGGCTCGTAGACGGGTTATTCTGACAGGGATGGATTTCCTCTGGGTTTTGGATATGAATCCACAGCGGCGCGAATTCAACAGAGGGTCTCAAGAATGATGATGCGTCGATACACCTCCTACACCCAGGTTAGAGACAGGCTAAGACCATCTGCGGAGGAACGCTGAGTCAACGAGCGACATATGTTCCTGTGACATCATTCTTTCTACTGCCTCTTAGAATCGAAGCTGCCACTCTTAAAAAAAACGAATAACGAAAAGAAAAGGGCCTTTTTGTTGATACCGTTTTATGCAGTAACTTGAGTATTCAGAGACGACACAGATCACAACATATGGAATGGTGAAGAAGAAGAAATAATGGTGAAATAAGACAATTGTTATGGTGTAGCTGTAGTAATACTAATATTAGCAGGAGAATTAGCTGTGGTGGTGGAGGTAGAAGAAAATGAAGAGCAAGAAATAATAATAATAATAATAATAATAATAATGTCATATATACAATAATTAAGAAAAAGAAATAAAAGTGGAATAAGAAGATTGTTGTCGTGTAATAACAGTAGTGGTGGTGGTGGTAGTATTAGCAGAAGAATAAAAATAATAATTGTTTTTATGGAATGAGGAAGAAAAAGAAGGAAATGTTGAATAAGTCAATTGTTATGATGATGATGATGATGATGATGATGAAGAAGAAGAAGAAAATATTAATAGTAGACACTGAATGATTAAAAACATAAACAAAGAATAAACGATTGTTATGATGAGGTAGTAGTAGTAGAAGTAGTAGTAGTAGAAGTAGTAGTAGAACTAAAAGAAGACAAAGTAGAAGAAACAGAAATAATGTACAGGAAATATCACTTACTTTCGAATTTGTTCATTAGGTGTATTGTTTGCATTCTATAAACACTTAGAAATAAATTCAAATTATTACAAATGTTGCAAAAGTTATGTTACAACTATCTGGATATGGTTGAGAGAAACATTACATGCGTGATGTATTTGAAATAACGATAAGGCACTTCTCTTTTAACCTGTAGTTTGTTCAGTCGGAAACGAGACCTGGTTGTTAATTGAATAAAGTGTTTATCACAGAATGAGCGTGCTTGATAATGATAAATATTTTTGGCAATGATATAACCCGTGAAAGGGATATATTTGTTCGAAGTAGCAAAGTGGTTTTGGACTACTCTAACCGATCAGGACAATCTAGCAGGTAACAGTAATGGACTGGTCCTCGTCGTAGTGATAGGCAATATGCGTAGGTAATAGGCGAAGACAATAGGCCTAGTCAATGGGCGTCCTCCCTGTACCCCCACATCAGTCTGTATTTATGACTGACAGCAGCCAATTACTGTGAGGGGGAATCCAGGTGTAATGTTATTTATTACATCATGCAAATATATTCAGACTTGTTGATTCTGTACAATCTATCTACCCTAACACAACTACTTGTTTCCGTATATTACAAAGCTACGTATTGACTAATTCTAGTAAAGTATATTGAAGATCGTTTTAACTTCAATATTTGAAATTCTAATTTCCAACAAAGATTTAGAGTTGTTTGTTCCATTTTCTCAAAAGATATTTTTTTAATTATTAACAAAGTCAGTAAATACGGAGAATGAAGATATCAATATCAGAAATGGATGAAGAGAAAAGAATAAAGGAAAAGGTAGGCAAAAGAAATAAAAATATATTGAAGAAGAAATGGATTTTCTGAGACGAACCCGTCTCCAAGAAATAAAAAAAAACTCAAAATGAAATGTATGTAGTCATATATAGATATTTTTTAATAAATTAAAAATAATAAAAAAATATATATATTATTAATATTTTTTTAATTTTATTATTTATTTCAGTCACAATACAAACGAACTCAAAGTTGTAAACAGAAAATATTACGATCATAAATAAAATGTCGGTTGACAAATGTAAAACAGAAGAGAAAGTCTAATAAGGATACAAATAAAATATTTGGTTGGGAAAAAATTCTCCAAAGAATAGGGTATCAAGGACGATTACAAGGATTAGGAATGCGAAAGAAAAAAGAGAAAAAAACGAAAAAAAAGAAGAAAAACTAAAAGGAAAGAAAAAACTGAAAAAAAAAACGAAAATGAAAGAAAAAACAAAAAGAAAAGAAAGAAATCGTGACGTAATTTCCGAAGTAAAAGAAATAGATAGAGAAATAAAGAAAAAAAACAGACTTAGAAGGATTATTTATAAGTAACCTACAAAATAAAATGTACGAAAAGGTTTTAGTAAACCTTTTTGTTCATTTTATTTTGGAAATTAAAAGCAAAGATATATAGTATATATTTAATATACCCAAGTTATTTGAAAGAAAAATGACGTATTAACCGAGAAATAACATAAAAGACTACGAAAATACCTGGTATAGTACAATATGGAAACCTTGATTTTATAAAATCGTCGAAACCATCTTTCTTTAAATATGTAAGTTGATACGACCCGCAAGGGGGGAAATCTTATTTTTATATTCGTTAACAAGATAATCAGAGAAATTTAATACTGCAACAACTCTAATCTCACATTGAGCGGCAATTATAGTTTTTTTTTTGTTTTTTACGAGAAGAAATATTTCGTGTGTATAACAATACAAAAAAAAGATGGCTGTCAGCTAAAGAAAACTCCCAAGATGTAAACAACAAATTCTCAGCAACAAAAAGGTAGAGATGTTTAAATATCTGAGAAGTTTGTTACCAAATGATGTAAAATCCGACAGCGAAGTCCAAACGAATTTTGGATAAGGGAAAGGTGAATTCGAAAAGCGAAGCTAAGTATAAAGATAATTATCTGAATTTCTGGAAGGAGAAATTATCATTATTTACATTATTTATATTCGGACTATTGTTCTCATCTTTGTTGTTATTACTTCATCGCCTTCTGTCTGAATTTCTGGGATGAAGAATAATCATTATTTAAACTATTTATCTTCGGATTATTTTCTTCATCATTGTTGTTGTTATATTTGTGTCTGTAATAGAGCAACAACTCTAAGTAAAAGTTTATGTAGCTTTATTTGACTAATTCTACTTTAGCGTTGAAAACGTTCATTTTATTATAAAGGATGGTTATAAGTGAGAGGGGAGATGGAATCTGCTTATCTTATTACTATAGTGTCTCCCGTCCTTTTTTCAGATGTATATCGACCTGAGTAACCGACAAGGAAACATGGACCCTTTATTTAATCTACAAGTGTAGATTGTTCTCCTTTTACTGGTCTAATCATTATTTTCTTATTTTATTTAGTAATCATCAGTTAGTGCTCGATCTTTCCCACTTTTCGCCTATCGTTAAGTTTTGACGTCTTAATGCGTGTTCATTTATTGTCCTCTCTGCTTAATAGTGTTGTCTCTCACATTCAGTAACTACTTGCTTCATAGTAGTTTTATTACCTTGCTTGTGTGAAATTATGAAAACATAACATTCAAGAGAACAGAATAATAATTAGGAGTAATTCATTTTTGGCGGCTATAGTGGAACTCTGCTTAAAGATTGTAGGAATAGGGGGCATAGACTTGTTTCTTTCACATAGTCCCATAGAAAAAATCACAAGGTGTCAAGTCAGCTGAACGTGGTGGTCATTTCAACAGAACATTGTCATAATCACTGACATACCTGATCCATCTTCCTGGTGGATCTTCATTGACGTAAGTCCACCAAGTCAGCTTCCAGGGAGTGGGGACCTCATCCTGTTGTAAAATGAAGTGTTCACTGCTCATTAGCAATGAACTAATCAAATAACCACTGCTGAAGCATTTGCAGATAAACATTCACAGTGACGTTTACTTCAAAGAAAATCTGTCCATGAAGACGAAAAAAAAAACAACTTTGTTTTTAAACATTTTGTTAAAATATGAGATCATTATAGCGAGAATTGGCTACGTTATTAGACTAAAAGATTCTATCACATTTGTGGGGACACTATGTATTTAATAGTACGGGTTGCGATGTTTCATTCACCCCAAATGCTGTCGCCCAGTTCTTTTGAGCGCACGTGGCTTTGCCCAAACCAGCCATGCACTTCCGTTTGTATAATGACGTATTAATGTTGACATAATCACCAAACACAGCTTATCTTCTTTAAGTTAATATTATAACATTTGACAGCTGTCTTTCGAAAATCTTAACAACTTAGTCTAAAGAAAATGACGTATGCTAAGTGTCCGATACTCGCTGGAGGCTAAACTTTCATTGTCTTGTACTAAACTAAGCTAAGGTTACTACAAAAGTTGATTGTGTTTATCAAAAATGCTACTAAAGTGCCAAAAGTGTTGTTTGCTAAAGTACTAAATTCAGCTTTGAGTAGGTTTACTATAAATATAATCATGTGCCAGACAAATGTAACCTCAGCAAATACTGGCTCATACTACAGATATAAAAAAATGGCAAATATGAAAAGAAAGATTGACAGATGACTATATTACTGGCATAATGCAACAAATTACCATCTACAGTCAAGAAAATATAGACATGGTATAAATTGAATGGAAGGGAAATGAAAAGAAGTCCATTTTTATATCAGATAAGATCATCAAATTTTCTTTAGGCTTGTGTGCATTAATATTATAAAGAGAATAGGCCGGAAAGTCGACAGGGGAGTATAGTATAGGCCAACAATGGGTAAAAAAGACAAAAATACTGAAAGGAATACGTGACTAAACAAACATAAGAACAAACAATGCTATCATCTCATATGATTGATTTTTTTTTATTCCTTACAGCCTTCCATCATTTTTTTGGGGGAAATGATATCAGAAATAAGAAAAGAAAAAAATGAAAATAAACCACATAATAAAAGAATTATTCCATAAAAAACAATATTTCCCTCTGTTCGTTTTCGTTGCGTTTCTTTCAAACGAAACTTTTCACTCTTTAGGATTTTTGAAGCCAGATTCGGAACAACAAGAAAACTTTACTTTCGGATAATCGAATTTTGCGTGGATTTAACATAACCAGTACCTTCGAATGTATGATTTTTTTTCTTTTTTTTTTTGCTTAAAGCAACCGGAAGCTTAGAAAAATAATAGCTGAGAGTTATGTTTGCCTGTTGAATACATAAAATATAGCAACGTCATTTGTTCTTCAAAGAATCATACTATTCCTCTCTTACGTTCGTTCGGTTCTTTGACGTTTACTTTTCATTGGAAAGTACTTTCATGTTTTATTTATGTATTCACACACACGCACACACACACGCGCGGCGCGCGCGTACAAAACTTTACACACACCCATGCAAAATGTTACACACGCACACACATATATTGAAGGCCTGTTGATATTACTTATTCAAATTTCAGGATTCGATTTTTTTTTTACTTTTGTTCTCAAAATCATCTCTTTTCCTCAACATTTATTTGTCGAATTTTTTTTCTTTTTTTCTTTTTTTATTGAGAATAACAAACTTTTAACCATCTGGTTCCTATTTGTTTTTCCTGTAATTTTAGTCTTTCTTTCTTTATTCCTTTGTCTGTTTGTCTGTATGTTTCTCTCTTGTTTGCTTGCTTCAAAATAGGTATTCTTTTTTTGTTTCTTTCTTGGTTTGCTTGTTGAATGTTTTCCTTTTTTTCTTTCTGTCTTTCTTGCTTCATTCTTTTGTTTTTCTTTCTTTCTTTCTATATTTCCTTTCTTGCTTGATTGAATATTTTCTTTCTTTTTTCTTTCTTTGTTTCTTGATTGATTGCTTACTTTGTTCCCTTTCTTTCTTTCTCTTTTCTTTCTTTCTCTTTTCTTTCTTTCTTTCTTTCTTTCTTTCTTTCTTGTTTCATTCTTTTGTTTTTATTTCTTTCTGACTAGATTTACTTTCTTTCTTGATTGAATATTTTCTTTCTTTTTTCTTTCTTTATTTCTTGATTGCTAACTTTGTTTCCTTTCTTTCTTTCTCTCTTTCTCTCTCTTTCTTTCTTTCTTTCTTTCTTGTTTCATTCTTTTGTTTTTATTTCTTTCTGACTAGATTTACTTTCTTTCTTGATTGAATATTTTCTTTCTTTTTTCTTTCTTTATTTCTTGATTGATTGCTTACTTTGTTCCCTTTCTTTCTCTCTTTCTCTCTTTCGTTCTTTCTATCTCTCTTTCTTTCTTTCTTTCTTTCTTTCTTTCTTTCTTTCTTTCTTTCTTTATTCCGTGTTTGCTTTCTTGCTTAATTGCTTGATTTACTTTCTTTCTTGATAGCAAGTTTTCTAATTTTTTTCTTTATTCACTTCTGACCCGGTTCTTATTCAATCACCGAAGTTAAGCAGTGTTGATCCCTTTCATTACTTATATGGGGAACGGCTTAGAATTACAGGGAACTATAAGCGACATTGTATATTCCGTAATATGTTTCGATTTGAAATAGTCATAATACGTAAATTAATCACTCAGTCTATCTTTCTTTCCTGATTGTTTTTCACAGTTCTTTCTTTCTTTCTTTCTTTCTTTCTTTCTTTCTTTCTTTCTTTCTTTTCGCCACTACCTATATGTTGTCTGTCTGTCTGTCCTTCTTTATTTCTTTGCTTTATCTTTTGATAAATAAATAATTGTTATAATTCTTTTTCTATCCTTTGGAAATGATTCAAATTTTAGTATGTTATTATGGATGATAACGACTAGTAGTTGTCAAAATTTCAGCTTTTCACAGTTTTTATTTCTAACAAATAATAGGTTTTAAAATTTTGTCCCTTAGTTTTTGGACGCTACTATATATATATATATATATATATATATATATATATATATATATATATATATATATATATATTTCATATAGGAACATTAACTTTAGATAACGAAGGACCTCTATAGTCATTTGATACTGGGGCACGATTTTATTCAGCATCATTCGCGTATCGAGATTCTTTTTGAGGTCCCAAGTCAGCCGTTAGCTTTTGAGGCCTAACAGCAGCCAATGCCCAGTACCCGTCATTCTACAATAATGTATCTCTAGATTGAAAGCTCATAGCGATGAAGTCAAGACGGTACCCACTTGAGACTAAACATTTAATAAAAACAGTTGTTATATGAATTCTTGATGAAGGAATCATCAAAACGATTGAGTCTCCATTGAGGGCTCAGGTATTAGTAACATCTTCTGACAACCACAAAAAGAGACTAGTCATTGATTACTCTCAAACCATAAATAGGTTTACCCTATGAGAGGCTTACCCACTTCCACGGATACAGGAAATTATAAGCGAAATTGCCAAATACAATGTGTGCAGCATGCTAGATTTCAAAAGCGCTTATAACCAAATGGCTATCAAATCAGTAGATCGGGTTTACACAGCTTTTGATGCTAATGGTCCCGATACAAGTTTAAAAGGATACCATTAGGAATAACGAATGGCGTTGCCAGCTTCAAGCGGATTATGGACAAATTATTATCGACGCAAAATTGGAAGGCATTTTTGTCTACATTGATGCGGACGCAAGCATGAAGGTCACAATCGTAATCCGAAACAATTTATGGCGGCCATTGAGAAATATAATTTCACATTAAACAATGATAAATGCTTTTTGAGCGTAGACACCATTAATTTATTGTGGTACAGTGTGAGCAAAGTTTCTATGTCACCAGATCCAGAAAGATTGAAACCTCTACTAAAATTGCCAATACGTAATAATATGACCGCCCTAAAACGAACTATGGGCATATTTCCACATTGCTCCTACTGGATTGCTTCCTTTTCAAACAAAATACACCCATTAGTACAAACGAATAGTTTTCCTCTTTCTGTCGAAGCAATGAAGGCTTTTAAAAATCTTTAAAAGGGTATAGCCAACTCAGCGATTACGGTTATAGACCTCGATATTCCTCTGGTGGTTGAAACATGCATCCAGTTGTGCAATTGCTGTTTCTTTAAGGCAAAATGAACGCCCTGTGGGTTTTTTCTAAGGACTTTGTCGCGTTCGGAACAGCGACACTCAGCAATTGGAAAAGAAACATGCTATAATAGAGACACTCAGAAAATGGAGGCGCTATTTAATCAGACATCATTTTAGATTAATTACTGGTCAAAAGTCCGTCGCCATGTTTAACACCAGAACAACGGGTAAAATTAAGAATGAAAAAATAGCAAAATGGAAAATTGAACTGTTTTTTTTCTTTTGATGTGATCTAAAGACATGGTCAGGGGAATGTCAAAGTAGACGTACTATCGAGGGTATGTAAGCTCGATACCAGATTCAGATGAGCATCGTACCCTACACAATGAACTGTGCCATCCAAGCATAACAAGGATGGCGCATGGGGTACGGAGCAGAAATCTGCCGTACTCCACAGACGACGTAAAAAAAAAAATAAAAATAATGAAATCATGTAGAATATACGCAGAACAAAAAATCGTATTTTTTCAGGCCTAAAACCGGGACGCTCAAAAATTCAACTCAACCCTTTGAGAGGTTAACATAGATTTCAAGGGTCCCCTACCAGCGGAAAATAGAAATCGTTACATACTAACTGTCATCTATGAATATTCGCGATTACCATTCGCATTTCCCTGTCCGACATATGAGTAAATACGGTGATGCAGTTCTTATACTCTTTATTTGCCATCTTGGAGATTCCAGCTCACATCCATTCAGACCGTGGAGCCTATTTCATGTCTAAGCAGCTGAGATAATTTCTTCGTGAACGTGGAGTGTCCACAAGCGCCGAACGACACCTTACCAACCTCAGGGTAATGTCCAATGCGAACTGTATAACGGCATAATAAGGAGAAGCATACAACTCGCCGCGAACCGCAAATGTCCGCTCTCACACTGTGAAGATCTCTTCCCCGAATCTCAGTACGCCATTAGAACGCACACACACACACACACACACACACACACACACATATATATATATATATATATATATATATATATATATATATATATATATATATATATTTGTTGGCTCTTGAAACCGGGGACGGTTCTTCTGAGACATTTCGTCCATCATAACGAGAATGATCCATTTACAAAGTATAGCTAATTATGCTCTGGAACGATACTTGGATGGAACAGAATTCACTGTTTCCGTCAGAGACCTTGCCCCCACATGGAGATGTACCTGCATCTAATATAGTCTTTGAGGAGGGACCTACAGTTTGCCAGAATATGCCTGACTACCATGCAGTTGAAGGTCAACCTTTCGATATTTCGCCATTGAATTCATCTACGGACTCTGTGCGAGCATCAGATACGGAGTCCATATCATCTCCGGAATCCCAGAAATGCACAGAGTGAGCCAGATGTGGACGATCGTTGAATTGCGAAATCCTAAATCGATTCGGTACACCTGTTTTCAGACTTGCAGCAACCAGCACGCAGAAGACGCATTTCTAGAACTCAGGACGGAGATAGAAAGTCGATCCCAGTGGGTCTTTTAACCCCGGCACGACGATGAGGCCAATTCTTTCCGTATGATTAATATAACATGGGGGAGAATGTGATAAAGTAATCGGAAGTAATCGCCATTGTTTTATGAGTACCTCCCTTTGGAGAACTCTTTAGTTTGCAGAGGACTATAAATAGTGACTACGCTGGTATCAATTATTCAAAGAAGTATACAACTTCCTAAAACTTACTCTTGCCCTATTTGTTATTAGAGTATCTATCTATCTATCTATCTATCTATCTATCTATCTATCTATCTATATATATATATATATATATATATATATAGATACCTAGTGAGCCAGACAAACCTTCCTAGGTTTCACCTAAACGGATCGTCAGGGAAAGTTTGGCTAAAACTTTCCCTGACGATCCGTTTAGGTGAAACCTAGGTAGGTTTGTCTGGCTCACTAGGTGTATCTAGGTCTGCTCTACGGTTGTATTGAGCTCTTTTTGTTAGTTAGTTGTTTACTCGTATCGGGGTTTTTCTTTGGGCTTCAGACCTGCATCTGTGCGATTTTTTTTGTCGGCAGAAGTCCATGTTTGTAGCTCTTTCTTTTTTTTAAAACCTTTTTCCCTCGAGATTAGCAAATCAAAAATTCCAGGTTTTTTTCGAAACGAGTCTAGTTATCTATATATATATATATATATATATATATATATATATATATATATATATATATATATATATATCCTGTTCTCTTCATTATCTATCTATCTATCTATCTATCTATCTATCTTATGCGGCTTTTTTTCTTTCTTTCTTTCTTTCTTTTAAACCATATTATTTTGCGTCGTATCATTACTTCTTTTCTTCAAGTAGGCTGAAAAAATGAGTTCTTTTGCATATTTTCGTTTTGTTATTTTAACCTTTTATTTATTTATTTATTTATTTATTTCAATCAATATTTCTCTTACCTTTTATTTTTGTTTATTTTCTTTCATGTCTTTCTTTTTTTTTATAAGATGCGTTTCTGTTTTACTTTCCTTCTTTTTTTATCTTCTCCCTCTTCTTCACTTCTTCTTCAATGTTCCACGTTATGCTTCACTTTACACGTCTTAATAAATCCTATCGTTTTACTATTTCCTCTAACTCCTGTTCTATTAACACTATACTCAATCTCTCTTCGTAGATTATGCGTTGTCGTCTTCGGACCCTGTTGCCTTCCGTATGTCCTGTGAGTGTTAATTTTCTCAGCCCTCTTTTCGCATCACGTGCCCTACAAATTTTCAACAGCGTCTTTCTGATGTTAAGCATAAGTCTCCTTTGTCTCTAATACTTCCTATGTCTTTGATTTTTTCCAACATCCTTCTGCTGCTTCCGTGACGAGATTGTCCAGCATTCGCTGCTATGTACCAAGCAGTGATATTACGTAAAAGAAAAATGAGTAATCCTTTCTTTGTTTCTAACGGATATTTATTTTTTTCTTAATATTTTGCTTAGTTTTTGGAAGACAGCTTAGCTATAGATATGTGCATTCGAATATCGTTGTCGCATTTCCATCTTCGGTTTAAACACTTCATAGCTATTTCAATTTTACACTTGCCTGATTTTGGTAATTTCAATTTCTAATTCGCATGTCGGATTTTTCCTTTTGCTTAGCATTCGTTCTTTTTAATTCCTTTTTTAGGTCTTTCCCTAACATTTTTCGTCTTTAATTTACGTTTTATTCTTTCTTTTGAATATTGTTTTCTATTTGCATATTTATATATTTTTAATTTTAGAATATTTCTTCGGAATTTATTTGGCGCATTCTTATTTTTTTCATTTTATCCTCATTTTTCTTTTGTTGATTGCTTTTTCTTTTTAAAAATATCTTTCAGTTAATAACTTTAGTGTTTTATCTCTTCTTTTATTCCAGGTTTTCTATTCCTTCATTCTTTTCCCCGCATTCGTTAATCATTCTTTATTCATTCTGGCTTTGACAATCTTTTATTCACTTTTTTATGACCAATTATTCAACTTGTAGGCTGACTTCATATTCATAAGAACTACATCTAAATTTTAAATTGAGACTTTATCAACAATTAAATTAAAGTCTGACATCGAACAGACGAAGATCGGTTCACGTTGAGACACTTCTTCTCTTTCATCTGTCGAAGTCTTTTCTATTTTTTCTCTTCTCTTCGTTTTATCTATCTATCTATCTATCTATCTATCTATCTATCTATCTATCTATCTAGTTACGTTCATAACTATTTCTCTGTCTGCTTCGGTTTTTCAAGTATTTTTGAAACAGAATGTATATTTTTGTAGTGATTTTATAACATATTTATGTTATAATTTTTAAATAAAAATTATATATATATATATATATATATATATATATATATATATATATATATATATATATATCCGATGAAATGAGAATGAAAATAATAGATAAATTCTAACGTTCACAGCATTAATTCAAAAGAGTGCTCAATACCGATAGTAGAGCAATAATTATTTATATTTTTTTCATACAGACAAAAACAGTTTACTCACTACAAAGAAACAAATATATAAAAATATATATATCATCTTTCACCAAACTGCTATCAACGAGCACTATTGTTTCACTTAGTCACCTTTTTGCTTTATCTGTATTTTTTCTCAAACAAATGGAAAAAAGGAAGTGACGTTTAACATACGGCTTGCCTAATAGCAGAACTGTTTCTAACCATTTTGGTTCTCACCAGTCGAGGTGCAATTGAAATGCACCGAAACGAAGTTGCACATTTGTAGTGAGTTAACTGTTTTGTCTATATGAAAAAAATATAATATATATATATATATATATATATATATATATATATATATATATATATATCTTATGTTATATTTCCGTTCAGTTTTGAATTTTCCAACATAAGGTGGTTTCATTGCCTAAATCGAGTATCAACAACTCATTTCTTATTTTCTTCTCTTTCCTTTTCATTTGTATCTGTAAAATTTGGATATGCTTATCTTTTTTTTCCATTCTTTTTCCCCTTCTTTTTGTCGTAGAGTTGATTTTTCATTTCTTATTTTTTTTTATTGATTTTTTATTTTCCTTCATTTTTTTTTACTCTAATTTGTTTTTTTCTTTCTTTTTCCTTTTATGGAATGAATAAATTTCTGATATATTTGTTTCTTTGCCTTCCATGGAAAAAATGCAAAAAGAAGTGATGTTTTATAAATTTTAATTTTAAATAGATTCAATAATTTTTTTTTTTTTTATTGTTTTCATATTTAAGTATTTTGTGTTTTTAGCGAGGATTTTCCTGAATTGTGTATACGGCCAGGCATGTTTGAAGCTATATCCATAAAACAGTTGAAACCTAACCTGAAGGAAATAAACTATGAAATCTCCACAAATATACTTAAATGCCTATAACTGTTAACAGAAGACATTGGTTTATACCAATTGCTTCCCATACTTAATACTTCTCGTTTTCACCCTCGCGTAGTCATGTGTGACGTCATGAGCTGCGCTGCGACTTTCGTTTCCAGCGTCTCATATGCACGAGTTTGTCGTTGCTTGGAAATCTTCCATTTAAACAAAAACAGACTATCGTTATTGTTTTGTCCGTGTATTATTTCATATATTCTAATGTAATTGTTATCTTTGATAATGGGTTATGTAAACCAAAAGCTTAGATATGATTAAAAATATGTATCAATATTGTGATTTTCTTTCTTCTTTTAATGATAATCCTATTAAACTTATCAGTCGATATGAAAAGAATTTACATAAAATAAAGAGACAAAACTTGTCTATATTATTTAATGAAACAGGCTTCAATGAATAAATGCAGCCTATATATATATATATATATATATATATATATATATGTGTGTGTGTGTGTGTGTGTGTGTGTGTGTGAGTGTACTGGGTGTAACAGCAAAATTGTCCTATTGTAAGATACAGAATTTAACCGTTGTATCTTAGAACTTAGATATCTTATTGGAATTCTCCGAGATTTTTATGAGTATGTATTCAGCTCTAAGTTGGAAAGATGATCCTACTTGCTCTTGTGACCTCCTTATCCAGTTTTCTTCTGTTTTTCTCCCTCTTTTTAAAACTTATTCAAAATACTGTTGATGTTTCTTTAATGAAATCTGAAGATTGCAGCCAGAGTATGAATGTACATACGATTACTGAAGGCCTGAATGATCTTTTTTCTTTCACCATTGCTCAGTTGGTAAGATATAGTAAGGCTGGCACAAAACGTTTTCAACCTCTTCCGTTTGTAGCTGAATGTCACAATGAATCAATGTTTCCAGTGATTCTTACGACAAATGGTGTCAAGGTGGCTAAACGCCTTATCTGAAAACCTGCAGAAAAGTAACTAAGTTGGTTTAGTTGTTGTTTAGATATTAAACATTTTGTTGGATGGACATTTTTCTATGCTGTTAGATGATTTGGATAATTTTGCTGTTACAAGCGGTATATATAAATTTCAGTAAAAAAAGTTAAAGAATATGAAATACAAAGAAGTATTACAACAAACCCTCTGCAGTAGTTTTGTATTCATATGCCTAAAATTCCTCCATCCATATATATATATATATATATATATATATATAATAATAATAATAATAATAATAATAAGGCTTAAACACTAATATTCTATACCCATGGCCAATGGAATATATTATGGTCATGGAATATTAGTGTTTAAGCTTTTTTATTATATCTTTACTCTGTCCTGGACATTGAGTTCTACTTGGATTCTATCCTCTTGGATTTATTTTTTATACAAATATACATGTATGTATATACATGTATGTATATATATATATATATATATATATATATATATATATATATATATATATATATTAGATATATGATCGCATATGTATGTGTATATGTACACTAATATTATCTATCTATCTATCTATCTATCTATCTATATATCTATATATATATATATATATATATATATATATATAGATAGATATAGATATATATATTCCATATATGGTATAGCTGTTACATTTACATTTCTATATTTGCAGAATTTAATTACACTTTATATACTGCAGCTAATGTTTACTTTTTCTCAATTCATTGCCCTAAATGAGGAAAAAGATGAAAATATTTAACCTTAGAATACTAACCATCAATTAAAGTTACACCACTACTAACCATGGGTATATCATAACCGATTTTGAAAATATCAAAAAATAATATATATAAATCTTTTTTTTGAAATATTTTACATGCAGGCACTTCTAACTTTGTACTTTGAGTTAACATTAATAGGAACTGGAAAAACATATTATTTAGGTAAGAAAATGAGGCACTGAAAATTGTAATTAAAAATAGTTAAATTTGCTCTGGGTACTATATACCCATGGCTAGTGTTCTAAGGTTAAAGAAGCTCAGTTACAAATTTACAATTTATGAAGGAAGTATTGGCATATTATTAAAATACACATTAAAAAAAAATAATTTTTTGTGCAAAATATACAGCATTGGATTTGAAAGCTACTCGTCTTTGAAAAATGCTGATATACAATAATGTTTGGTGACCAAAGTAAAACTAGGAATCTAGGTCCCACTCATTTACTGTTGAAATCGCTAAATGCAACCGCAACTTCTACTCCAACAATTTCTTTCTCGCACTTCCCACCTGTGGAAGTTCTTTCCATTTACTTGCATCCCTGATAACTACAATCTTCAGAAATTTAAATGCAATGTCAATCGCCATCTTCTATCTTCTTGAATCTTGTTCATTTCTTGTCCTTACCTCAATTCTCTCTTTACTCGGCATTTTCTCTTAATTTACTTCCCTGTAAACCCATGCGTAATAGTGGCATTTCTGCCTTGCTTGCGGTGAAAATAATAAAATAAACAATTCAAAACAGGAAAAGTAAAATCGACGAGAAAGAGCTTTAATATATTTCTCAGTGCTGCCCTTCACGGATACGAGCCGGACTTTGTAGAGAACCAGTCCTATTTATGTCATGTTTCTTTTCGTCATATGTGAGTCCCAATCGAGCAGCTGTTGCCCACGAACCGCGGGGATGTTTCCCCGATCGCTAAAAGCTTAACTTGTTCGAATCTACAGTTAACTGTATTATTCAACGCATATCTGCGTAGTGCCTGCTACTCTATAAAACTCTAACTTGAGTGTACCTCGGTCCTTATACAGGGGGAACAGCACTGTAAAATATTAATGTAAGTGGAACTGAGGTAGTTCGTGATCTTCTGAAGCTATATGTTATATTAAAGCAAACTTTTCACACCAGAGTGTTGAAAATAAAAATAAAATAAAATAAATGACGTTACCCAAAATAATTAAAACCTAACAATTGTGTTGATTTATTCTGCAAAGTAACAGGGAAGATTTTTATCAAAACCAACTCACAGAAAACGAGAAATCTTAAATTTCACTAGAAAGATATTAGCGTGGTTCGGGGAGTATAATAAAAAAATATATTTGAAAATACAGTTTAAAAATTAAAACATATCTCTATTTTTTAACACAAAGCATCGGGAATAAGACGTTTAAAGGATTTGCCCAATAAACTTTGCATAGATTTAAATAACATGTGGCACCTTGCATTATTAGAAATATTCATAGAAATATGATTTAATTTTTTCTTACTCGGTTACTAAACAGGTTGTTAATTTTTTTTTTTTTAAACGGAAAATAACTGAGTTGAAAATAATTCACTAAGAGTGTACTAGACGATCCTAAGGAAAGAAGAAGGAAAGAAAGGAAAAGGAAGGAAGGGAAGAAAAGAAAGAAAGAGAAATGTATGACGCATGACCCAATTGAGGGTGGAGATAGGAGTCAGAAAGAGATTTAGGTCAGCGTCTTGGCCGATTTTCGAAAGTCATTTTGGTAAGAATGTCGGTCAGAGCACCTAGCCTACTTTTGCATGGAAAGACACCTTATCAATTTGGATAAAGAGAAATTTTGGGAACAATGAAACAATTTTTTTAATCAGAGAAAAAGTGTCTTTGGGTTGAGGGGAGTGACCGGTGGAACGATATACAGACCTGTTAAGAATTGGACACCCACGTTAATAAAGTAGAGACATTTTAATGTAGATAATTAAGATTTTCGACTATCAGGTAAAACAAAGAGGTAAAAAAAAGAGGGACAATTGCTTTTTGGCTCACAGAGGGCGCCAAGAAGGCGGAAAAGATCCTTTCTAAAGTCAAGACTAATTAGCAGCGGGCTGTTTGACAAAGTCCAGGTGAGAGAAAGCCAAAGATTGTCATTTTGCGTACGTGCAAAAAGGGGCAAAATTGATTTTGTTTTTTTTAAACAAGAACGATGTAACCACGCCCGCAAACAGAGGGAGAGGATGTTCGATCAATAACAATTGGTCGAATACGATCACGTGACCTGCGGAAGAAAAGGGAAAGAAATGTTTGATCAATAACAATTGGTCGAATACGATCACGTGACCTGCGGAAGAAAAGGGAAAGAAATGTTCGATCAGGAACGATTGGTTGAAAAGCGGTCACCTGACATACGAGAGACTAAGAGAGATGGATGTGCGCCGCCCCACCAAAGGTACTGCGAGGAAGTAGGGGCGAAAACAATAGCGGTAATGGAGAAGACAGAATTAATGCAGTTTTTGGAATTATCGAGAAAACCCTGACGCCGACAGACCCACCCCAGTTTGTTGCGGCGTCAATATAAGCAGGACCCCAGTCGACAGAAATCAGTTGAGTTGGAGTTGCAGATGGAGTGGAGTTGCAGCTGAACCGCGGGCAGGGAAAGAGCCTGAACGCGGGCATCAGGCCCGATTCACTCGCCCCTTTGCGGGCAAGAGAATCCTCAGACAAGAAATCCTTCCAGCCCAAATCGAAGAAGAAGATTGCTCGAAAGCCGCAGAGAAATTACACCCAAGTCGAAGACAAGAAGAACTTCCAGCCCAAGTAGATGAAGAAGAAGATTGCCTGAAAGCCTGAGAAGAATTGGAGATGCAGACAAGCCGAAAGTCGATGAGAAGTTAAAGTTCAGCTCCGGACGGCAGTGAGAAGAGACCACCTCAGA